TTCATGTACTTCTGTACTTTCTGTACAAATTTTATAAAAAAATTTCAGTTGTTTTTTGGAAAAAGGGATATTATATATACTTTTTCTTATTTTCCTTAATTTTTTAGAAAATATTCAGAAATATTTTTTCGAAGATACTGGTATTTTTCTAATTTTTGCCGGAAAATTTCAAGAAAGATAATTTTAACGGTATTTTATAAAAATTCTTTAAATATATTTTTTTCATATTTATGATAATTATTTGAAGTTTCAAAAAATGTTTACAAAATGAGTGAAAAAATTTCTAATTATAATCTCATCTAAATTAGGAAAGTATTTATTTTTGAATCAAAAACTGCAAGTAATTTATTAGATTCAAATAACCAATTACTTGACAATTAGCAAATTATTATCGCTGTTTGAGATTTAGAGAGTACAATGTATTTCTAAACATTTTCTGATGGGGCTAAATTTTGGTTAAGAATTTATTTTTTTGAAAAAAGTTTTTGTATATAGATAGGCACTTTGAATACATTGAAAGAATACTGATACTGAAAGCTTCACCAGTTAGTATGGTAATAAAATCGTAATTGTGGATTTGAATAATTAAATAGACCAAAATTTCTCACCTTTTATATATAAATTGTTTATTATAAAATGTAAAATACATCTTCGTAACAATTACATATTCAGCTCAATAGGGAAAATTATGTTACAATTATAAAGTTTTTAATCCATCTAAGGGGCAAAAGCAAATTGGCACTTCTTCGAAATATTTTAAAATAATAAAAATCAAATTATAAAAGTACCATACAATCAGTATAAATATTTTATTACAATTTATTTTTCGGATTTTTTCATTTCTTTCAGTAATTAAACCAGCCCCCTCTATAATTAAAACAAATTTTTTTTCAATACATACAATACAAATTCAAAAATAAAAAAAAAATTCTTCTTTAAATAAGTTAATAAAAATAGCATTACTATTTTATACACCTTTTTATAAATATTAGAAGATTTCTTCATTTCCAAAGGCACCGATTTCACCGAAACTCTTTCATAAAGATTAATTAAGACAAATTGTTTCTAAAATACATAAAAATTAAAAATGAATTTGTATTAACAATCACATTAAATGTTTTATGTCTCATAAAGACTTCTGTATTTTATAAAAAAATCATTATAGTAAATTGATCTTTACAATATTTTTCTTTTTCATAAAAAAAGTATGAAAATTATAAATACTTAATGTATGTAATACGATAAATTGCATTTAAAGAGTAATTACAGAATATTATTTAAATTGACGCATTGTGTTGGCAAGTCTTCACATACGGATTTCATGTTTTAATATAAAATATACCACAAAACATCGATAAATTTACAAAGAAATAGTAATGGTAAACAATGTAATAAAAAAAAAATAATACCATTTTAAAATTGAAGTATCAACAAATTTTTTGTTCTTTTACTACTTTGATTGTAGAAATAATATAAAATGATATGAAACAATTATAAAAAAATTTACATTTTAAATGAACCCACCTTTAGAGATGAGCCAATTTCGTTAAAATTTGTAAGTCAGGAAACATTTGGTAAAAGCTTATATTTTATTTTGTCAATAGTGGGTAGTATTCGTACCATCGCTCAAAGTGGTAAAAGTATAATTATAGAAAAAATTGTTTACAGTGTAAAATTTGAATTTTATTTAATTTATAAATAAAAATTTTTTTGAATAGACGGTGATTTATTTATTTATTAAAGAAAGAAAGGTAATCAATTCAGTAAATTATAAAATAATGATTTCAACTTTTCTTGCAAAACTGAAAATTTGAGATATCGTAATATTGCTACAGATGCAATTAGACTACAATAAATACTTTTATTAAGAAGCACAAGACGATAATATTTCCATGTTTTCGTATGACTTTACACTATTCTTCTCAATGTGCCAAATTTACATATTTTTGTTATTTTATAAAAAAATACAATTTTGACTTAGTACCTAATTTTAATATTCCAAATGATATCACCTTGATAACGTTGATTACTCGTAAATCGTAAAAAGGAATATTATAAAATCGTTATTTGGAATGACGATTTTATTTACACTAAACAGATTCAAACCGTTGTAGATCTATCGAAAGTACAAAAAAATATTATGAATTATAAAAAATTTTATGTAACAATAAAAAATATAATTTTCAAGCATTCTCAAAGTAGCTGATACTGTTTTATCTCTTTTAAGGATTGACTTAAATACTAGGGTCACTCCAACGATTTTGATACTTCCTGGTAATTCCAAAGATGAATTTGTGACTAGTATAAAAACATTTGCAATATGTGAAAAAATCTATCGAAAGTGACCAGAATTATTCAAGGGGTAAAATCAGTGTTGGATAGTGTTGTTTAAAAATAGTCACAAAGTTATTTCTGGAATAGCTCACCTTCGCTTTGTGTGCAACTATGTTCACATAAACATACAAATTACAATTATTATTAATAAAGACTAGAAAGCTACCTATGGCGTAAGTTGTGAAAAAAGAAGTATGTAGTAGAAAAGTTTAATAGCTTCATTTAAGGTGAAGAAATCGTCTTAGAGTTAATAACTATGACTTTAAGACGAAAAAAATGTTGTTTTAGTCGATTAAAGAAAGAAAAAAAAGTAGAAAAAATTCTTTATTTTATTTAGTATTGTCATAAAAATTTCAGTTTGTATTTCCCTGGCCTTTCACTGATTTCTAAGTTAAATTATTCAAAACTTTACATCCCTGAAGTTACGAAATCGAAAAAATTCTTATCGTTTTTTAATTTACAAATTGAATGAAATAAGTAAAATTAGTGATATTTTAATCTCTAAAAACTACAAATAATAGTTTTTGACGCTAACTTCAGAGGCATCATAATTTTTTTGAAAAAAATATTTCAATCTGTACTTTTTATTTATTTTTCCACAAGAAAAAAAAAATATAAATTTTAACTTTCAATTTTCTGAAATTTCATTATTTCTAAAAACTACAACTCTAATCTTTCCAAAATATAATTATTTTCTAGAATTTTTAATTAAATTTTTTTCTAAATTATTATTATATTGGGTCAATCCAATGACTTTCTTCTGAAAGTCGTTGAAACCATATTTATATAATTATCATTTCGAAAACGAAGAAAAACACCTTCGTCAATTTTCAATAGAAGATACATTACGTCCTTAAAAAAATATTTACAAAACCACAAATTTTTTAGAGGTCCGACAAAAAAGTTTTCAGTCAAAAAAATGTGGAATTTTTTCAAGAAAAAAAATTTCAAAATCACTTTTTGTCCATAAATAATAAAATTTTTTTTAATTTCCATCATTAGTACGTACAGAATGAAATGGTTTATATTTTTAGTGATTAAATGTTAATACTATATTTAATAGTTATTGAATAATAATTTTTTTAAAAAAACTGAAAAATTTATGGTTACGAAATCACATCGTGAACCATCAACTTTTGATAATTAATATTATAAAAGGAATCGAGTTTCAAAAATATTAAAATTAGATTTTTTGAAAATATGATCGCAACGACTTTTAGACGAAAGTCAGTGGACTGATCCAATAATAAAAATTTTTGTAAATAATAATTGAATTGTAAATGATTTTATTTTTCGGTCATCTTTAATTATTATAAAACATGAAGAAATGGATCATTCCGAGTCGAAGACTCGGAGTTATCGATATCTTCATGTTTTATATTTATAAAAAATTTAATTTATAGTTTTTATAGTAAAATGATCTCTTATTTAACTCGGATTGGTTATATTTTTGTCCGTAATTTTTCATTTTCGGTCCGTAAAGTCCGTATTTTGTATAATTAATTAATAAAATTGTTCTTATTTTTCATTTCTTAAAAAAAGCTTTTTTTGTACATAATTTTTCTAAGATATTCATTCTGTCCACAAATAATAAAATTTTTTTTAATTTCCATCATTAGTACGTACAGAATGAAATGGTTTATATTTTTAGTGATTAAATGTTAATACTATATTTAATAGTTATTGAATAATAATTTTTTTAAAAAAACTGAAAAATTTATGGTTACGAAATCACATCGTGAACCATCAACTTTTGATAATTAATATTATAAAAGGAATCGAGTTTCAAAAATATTAAAATTAGATTTTTTGAAAATATGATCGCAACGACTTTTAGACGAAAGTCAGTGGACTGATCCAATAATAATCGAGATAATCTGTTCCTCACATGAAGTTAGTGTTTTTTTATTTCAATTTTTTGTTTTGTAGTTCGAATTGTTATATCAAAAGTTTGACAGTTAATTTGTAAATAATAAAATAAGTGGAGTAAAAATTTTTTAAAAATACTTAATTATTTTATGAATTATTTATTTTTGTATTTAAATAATTGAACTCTCGTAGTTGAACTCTGTTAAGAATTGATTTAAAAAAGAATTTTAGTTAAAACTTTAGAAAATAATTAGAAATGTTTAAGTAGAATTCTTTAGAAATATATAAATTGTTTGAAAATTTAAGGGAAGCAAAAATATAAAAATATTAAAATTTGTATTTAAAAAAATTATTAATTACATTATTTTTCTTTAAAAATTCTTAAAGTTTTCAATAGTGTAGTGTAGTTATGCTATAGTTATAATAATAATCGAGATATTCTGTCCTCACGTAAATCAAAAAGCCATCGCTTTTTGATTCCAAATTGTTTTACAGCTCAAATTGTCTGTATCAAAATTTTGACAATTAATTTGTAAATAGAGTGATTAGTGTTTTAGTGAATTTAATTCCCCCAGAATTTTGACAATAACAGGATTTTGAAAGGACAGTAAAGTAAGGAAATTTTATCCAAAATATTCAAAAAATATCAAATTTTTAAAAATGTTAAATAGTCTATGAATTTTCTTTCTCAAATTAAAAAAAATCCATAAGTAGAGTTACAGTTGCAAATTTTAGAAATAATTATTTTATTAGTTATTTTTTTTATTTAAATAATTGAATTCTCGTACAACTTTTTGATAAGAATTGATTTGAAAAAAAATTTCCAGTTTTACATTGAAAGTATTATAAAATTTTAATTCCTAGTGGTCAAAGAAATAGCAATAAGTATTCAAATATTTTTTAAACAAAAATTTATCGAAATTCTTTGAAAAACATGGTTTTTTGTAGAGATGCACGACGAGACTCTGTCCTTTCATAAAAGAAAAGAGATGCAAATATTACATTCAATTGTTTTCATTGTTTTTTTCACGAGATTCTCGATTTTTCTCACGAGACTCGCTCGAAGTGCATTACTAGTTTTTCGGTTACATTTTTCTATAAAAAAACGTAGCATTTTGTTGTAATACTTATTTGGAAGAAAAATCGAAAAAGTCGCTTTTTTGAAAATAAGCCAAAAAAGTCCCCTTTTCTTGAAAAAATAGTAAAAAAAATCGAAAAACTTATTCTATCCGAGACCTGCACATTTAATTGAGTAGACAGTTGACAGTTTTCGATAAGCCTGAGCTTTCGAGTTTTTGTGAACTAAAGAATTTTTGTACTAATAAACAATGCTTAATTGGAACAATTTTTAACAACACTGTGTCTAAAATATGAAATTTTCAAGATTTTAGCAATTTGTAAAGTATAAATTTCACCTTGAAAATGAAACTAAACTACATACTTCTTAAAATAAAAGTTGTTCGCACCGTTAAGAATTTACGATTTAAACGATTTCTGAACAATCTCACGAATCAATTCTCCCGAAATTTGTTTCTTTCAAATGTGTTTAGTTTTATTAAAAATTTCCTAATATTTTCATAGTTTGGAATTAGTGACAATTGAGATAATACCAGTCGAGTAGCAATGAGTACTTCAATAACTCTCGATTAATTAGGAAAAAGTTAACTTTCGACATCTTTTTAAACATGAAAAATTGTACTTCTAGAACACATGTTGAAAAATATGGCAGCTCTATAAAATTTTAACATTCGGGAAAACGGATACGCGGGTTTACTCTGAATACTTTGAAACATTTCTTAATATTGTGCATTAATATTTTCGCTGTTTACATGAAAATATTAACGATCTTTAGACTAGTTTTGTTAATTGCACAAATTACCTTTAGAGATAATACACACGATATGAAAAATTCCTGTGTACATTTTAAATGTTAACAAGTAATTTTTTTCGTGAAACTCAAATTATCGATTCAACTTAAAATCAGTCAATTATTTGTAGAAGCGATTTAAGTAATAAACAATTTCATTATGTACATTTTACATAAATTATTTTAGCATCAGATTATGCGAATGAGTTAAAATTAAAAACTCATTTTTCTCACTTTAAATAAACATTTGTATATATAAATATATACATTATACTATTGAATATGTATATATCTACATAAGTTGAGGTAATGTTTTTCGTGTGCTTTTTTCACTTTATGACAAATGTAATTTACAAGAAAAAAAACACTTTTTCCGTTTCTCATTTTAAATGAAAATGATTTTTTGATATTAAATTTATAATGTGTTATTTAAAAAGCTAAGAGATCCACCATTAGCTATGTATCCGAAACAATTGTTATTGTTGTTGATTTTTCTTCCTCGTTGGTCAAGAAAGGGGTAACTACTTGCATATTTACGGAAACACTTAGAGGATAAGTCAGTTGTTTGTCAAGAATCATTACCTGTTTCTCTTCGTTTTTGTGAAGAGAAAGTCTAAGCATTCCCGAGTCTTGCATGTGATTTATTTGCCTTTGTTCATTAAGTGATATTAGACGAACCCTGTGAATATAAAAAAAGATAAACAAAATTATTTTTAAAATATTTTTTACCATAATTGTTATATGAAGCTGAAACTGACAACTATTTGACAGTAACCATTTCAATTTTAAAGTTGATTGGTTTTCATTTATTTCGTTACCAATATAAAACTTTAAAAATTATTAAAAAAATGCTAATAACAGCAATTCCATGTACAACGATCAAGTAAAAATTTTTATTTTCTGGGAATGGCTTGAAATTGTTAATTTAAAATCAGTATAATTTCGAGAAAACATGATAGATTTTAATTTTTATCTAGTGAAGTTTAAAGCATATCTTGTGTAGTTTTTAATTTCAAACCCTCATTTTTTCAACCCCTCATTTTTTCAAAAATAAACATTATTTTTCAGCTAGCTAAAATAACGGCCGCATGTAATTTCTCCTTTTAATGTCAATAGACATTTAACAATATAATAATATATGTATAAGTATTTATAATTGTCTTATAAAATGAAACAAAACTCAATTTCTTTTGAAGAATTTCTTCAACCCAAATTAAAAATCACAGAAACTGGCTCAATATTCTTTGTAATAGAAACGGGCGCACATGTGTAACAAGAAATATTTTTAAAAAAACATTTTTTACAAAAATTGTGATTATAAAGTAAAAATTATACCAATTGTTTTGATTTATTTCAGAAAAATAGAATTTTCTTAAAAATCGTGATTAAAAACTATAAATTATGCAAAGTTTTGAACTCTTTTTAAGGGGACTTTCTGGCGAAGGATTTCAAAAAAAATAGAGCTTTCTTTGTTTCCTGTAAAATATTCCTTAGTATCATAAAATTACTTTCCCAAAACATTTTTGAAAAAATATGCAAAAGAAAAAAAGTTATAGCAATTTTTATGACCGTTTCTTAGCTCACTTTAATACATTACAATAACTTTAAACGCGTTTTTCTCGAAAACCCATTTTTGATAACGGGAGACACTTTTTTCGAAATCTATTGAACTAATTGTAAAAAACCAAAAATCATTCGATTCTTTATCTAAAAAACTAGAAAACAATCCTCTAAAATTTTAGATTTTTACCCCCTGCATAAAAAATTGTAAAACATTTAGAAAAATTGTTTTTGAGGTTTGTTGTCTAAAAAAAACCCTTATGAAGAAAATTCCGATTGAATTTTTAATTTATGTACAAAAGCTTGTACGAAAACTGTCTCCCAGAATAAAAGACGAAAGTTAACTAATTTAATAAATATAAAGGTTTAAAAATTGCACACTTTTTCAGGTTAAAACTATTTATTTTCTTATAAAATTGAAGTTGGCTTTTAATTTAAACACTATGATCGGAACGTGATTTACAATAAAAAACCAACTTCAATTTTAAGAAAATAAATAGTTTTAACCTGAAAAAGTGTGCAATTTTTAAACCTCTATATTTATTAAATTAGACCCGGGACCAAAAAGAAAATTTTTGAGTGTATAGATTTCGTTGTGATTTAGAAGTTCTGAAAGTGCCAAATTTTTTTATTTTTCTTTAACGGAGTTATTAAGTTGTAAAGTACGCAACAACTCAGAAATCGCGTACTTTCAACTCAAAATTTCTTGTATATTTATAGGAAAAATTAAAAAAGTGATAAGAAATCCTGAAAGTTCATCAAAAATACTCTATATTCGGTGAGTTTTTATTTAATTCAATAGTTCCACCTTCTCGTAATTAATTGATAAAAACGTCAAAATTAGGTTATTTGACGGATCGACTTTAAAAACATATTTTATCTATTATTTTTATATTTTTACTAGTTTTTTTTATTAAAGAATAATTAATCAACTAATTTTAAACATGAATCAATAAATCTTTTTGCACTTTTAAGAATTTTTCAATACTTTTTTTAAATATTTTCTAATTGCTAAAAAAGTGCCATTTTTTCGCACCTTCTCCACTTTACACTCATATTTTAAGAAAAATAATAAATATTTTAATAAAATTCTTTTCATTTCGTTCTTCAGAGATCATACAGATTCATTTCTAAAAGTATCAATTTTTTTAAAAATTAGGCCGCAACGACTTTATTTGAAATATAATGGTCTGACCCTTTTACAATAATATGTCTTTTTTTAAAAATTACCTATGCCCACATAGCACAATAGTATGAGGTAAGGTTATGTTGAGTACTAATCGTAAGGCTCATAAGGTTACACGATATTGCTGTGGTAGACCTAACGTGAACTAAAAACTTCCGCCATGGAGGTAAGGTTACATGTTAGAGTGTGGTAAGTATATATGATAAGGCTATGGTAACCTTACACGTTAAGGTTCAGATAACCTTACACGTTAAGGTTGATGTAACCTTACACGTTAAGGTTGATGTAACCTTACACGTTAAGGTTGAGGTAACCTTACACGTTATGGTTGAGGTAACGTTACACGTTAAGGTTGAGGTATCATTACACGTTAAGGTTGAGTTAAGGTTATATGTCAAGGTTGAGGTAAGGTAATTAATAAGTTGTAAGGTTAAGGTAAGGTTGTGATAAGTTTACCAGTTATGGAAAATATTGACAAAATAATTAATAATATAATAAATAAATATTAAATTAGAAAGTTAAGTTTGTTGCTCTTCTCTATTTTGGAAACCTGACATGAAGCAGAAAATTTTGAAAACAAATTTGGGGGGACTGGGATTCGAACCCGGGATCGACGCGCATAAACCTAACATCCTAACTAACTGAGCTAAGTGGAGAACTGGTAGCAAGAAAATTAATTTTGCCTTTAAGGAGTTAATCATATTCTTGCTTCACCTTAAAGGCAAAATTGATTTTCCTTCTGACAGTTCTGCACTTAGCTCAGTTAGTTAGAATGATTGGTTTATGCGCGTCGATCCCGGGTTCGAATCCCAGTCTCCCCAAATTTGTTTTCAAAATTTTCTGCTTCATGTCAGGTTTCCAAAATAGAGAAGAGCAACAAACTTAACTTTCTAATTTAATATTTATTTATTATATTATTAATTATTTTATCAATATTTTCCATAACTGGTAAACTTATCACAACCTTACCTTAACCTTACCTCAACCTTACAACTTAATAATTACCTTACCTCAACCTTGACATATAACCTTAACTCAACCTTAACGTGTAACGTTACCTCAACCTTAACGTGTAACGTTACATCAACCTTAACGTGTAAGGTTACATCAACCTTAACGTGTAAGGTTATCTCCAGGGATGGGTACGTAACATACTTCATGTATGTTACCCGGGTTTGTTACGTATGTTACGCATGTATGTAACTCGTTTGGTTTGCTACCCTACGTATGTTACATTTTATGACGTCAGTCAGAAGTAAACATAACCTCAATTTTTCTGGTTGTCGCCAATCCGGCACTTGACCTTGTTTATTATTATTCTTTTAATTAATCATAAGTCCTGGAAATTATTGTTTTAAAAATGAAACGAGGTGGAAGGCCTCTTAATAAACCCTTTTTTCAACAACTTAGTTTTACTCCTACCAAATTAGAAAACGGGAGAGTAGGAAAGTAGTTTGGATTTAAAGTATTAATAATTTTTTTTAAAAAATAGGACTCCACAACCGTAAATGGAATGTTGCATCCAAAAAAAAACATTCCCAGACTAAAGTCTTCTTTTGATAATTCCATTTTAGATTGTTTTCCTGTTCCTAAAAATATAAAAAATCCGTTACTTAATTTATACGTTTATAAGACTTCCTACTGGATCAAATATCTATTACATTAAATTTTTATAACTTAATTTATTGAATCCAAAATCATTCTACTGGAAATTTATATACTTTATACATGTAACTATAAATTATTAATTTTATAATTATTTTACAAAAGTGAGGTTATGACGCACCTTTGATGTTTGCTACGTTTGCGACAATTTGTTACGTATGTTACTCATTTATGTAACATACGTAGAAAACCTCGAGTTTGTTTCATTTACCCATCCCTGGTTATCTCAACCTTAACGTGTAAGGTTACCATAGCCTTATCATATATACTTACCACACTCTAACATGTAACCTTACCTCCATGGCGGAAGTTTTTAGTTCACGTTAGGTCTACCACAGCAATATCGTGTAACCAAGAAGACTAGAGACAGGAGGGCTAACTCGGCTGTTTTCTCACTCACAGCAGTGAGTCAGTATTAGGTGGGTTCTGAAGGCGTAGTTAGATTGCGCCAAATATCTTGTTTTCGGTTCTGCACATCTCAACACTCTTACATTATATATTTGAATACGTGACACGCGTGTGTGAGTGGAAGTGCAGAATCAAAACACGATACTTGGCGCAATCTAACCACGCCTTCATAATCCCCCTATATTTGTCCTACCCCCACTACTGCAGTTAGTCCTCCTGTCTCTAGTCTTCTTGCGTGTAACCTTATGAGCCTTACGATTAGTACTCAACATAACCTTACCTCATACTATTGTGCTATGTGGGTGTAATATACGTTCTCGTAGTAGTTTTTGCGTCGAATCGAATGGCGCTATCAGTTTTTTATGAAAATCAATTTTTCTTCATTTGTTTATAACAAATTGTTCAAAATTTTTTTTTTTAATTTTTAACGTTAAAAATTATTATTAGACCATATGCCAGGATCCCAATAATTACTTTTTAAACCTGCGTTCCTGTGCCCATGACCATTAATGGGTTAAAAAAGGAAAATAATATTTTTAAAAAAGTTAAAAATATATTGTTAAACTGTTTATAATAATAATATATACGTATATAATTAATAAATGTATTAGGGGCGAGCAGTAAAGGTCAAATCATCTTTTAAAATACACTGACATAGGCGCTGCTTAGTTAGCGCAACGCACAAAAACTCGTAGCGCAAACTTCAAAAAATTTTTTCTCAAAAACATCAAAAATCACTTCTTTAAAAATTTAACCATTTATTAAGGAAGGTTCAAATTTTAAGAAAATAATTTTTCTAGAAAATTCCATGATGTCCTTTGCTCTTTTTTTTAACAATAAAAAGTTATTGTTTAAACAAA